CTATTTTATAAATGTGGTTGACTACGAACCTAAGCCGATATTTACAAGTGTCTACTGATATTACACTTATGGGAAAAATGCATGCTGTTGCCGATTGTTTGATTCAGACGTCATCTGGGTTTCTGATTATTCGGAGATATTGATGTGAGGAAGGGGCATCTCATGTTTAATCATTCTCCATTATCTTCCCAGTAATGATTTCCATCAATTCCGAATTTTTCAACGCTTCTCCACTTTTCCTCATTCAGGGATCGATCTGCTAATAAATTTGGCGTAGCAAAGCTACAGCTCACGAGAGAAGGCAATGAATCTCCGAGCTATGCTTTCTCCTCTTCTCACGCTTCATCCTGTGCAAAGAAATTTGTCTCCCGTCATCCTGTTTTGCCTCCCACACTAAAATTCTCTGTATTATTTCTTTGTTTTTGGTGATATGTTGTAATGTAAACGCGTCCCATTTTGGGAACACATCCCATCAGATTACCATAGAAAGCTGATTTATTTAGAATCAGACCACGCGAGCTGACCTCCGCGATCCGATTTCGACGTAACTCAGCTGGATAACGTCAGGAACTTGCAACAGATGACAAGGAAGAGTAGTGTAATTATGCGCTGGTAGGTCATTTCTGTATGTACGCATATGTAAAATGTTTATATGGATAGTGTTTTTCTGTCTATCTATGACTCTCTATTCATATATGAGTCTTTTTTGTCTCTACCTCTCTCTCTCTATTTATATATGCATATATGAATAGAGAGAGAATGTCGATTAGCTTGGTTCATGTGACTATCTGTCCATCTGTCTGCAGTTGAATAGAGAGAGAATGTCGATTGGCTTGGTTCATGTGACTCTCTGTCCATCTCCAGATTCTCTCTCTATCTCCCAAAATATGTATTTATAAATTTCTTGGTGGATTGTCTTCGGTTGTGAGACTGCCTTCTACAGATGCAATAGGGCGGAGTCCGGGTTAAGTCGCCCGGGAAATCCAAGCGGTAGGGACATGAGACGGGGGCCCACTGGATGCCTGCATGCTTCTTCGACTTGTCGTTCTTCATGGAGTGAACTCTGGCTTCAAACGGCGACGTGAAAGGTCCTGCCCCCCCCTCCCCCAACCGCAACAAGGAAAATATAAGGAAGCCATGAAGCAGGCAACCTGAAGGGCTTTCAAATAGAAAGTCAGACTTCGGGAGAGAGAGAAAGAGAGAGATTGAGAGAACACGAGAAAGAGCGAGCGTGAGAGAGAGAGAGAGAGAACGCGAGAAAGAGCGAGGGAGAAAGAGCGAGAGAGAGAGAGCGAGTGCTAGAGAAAGAGCGAGTAAGAGAGATCAAATTGTTGGGTGATGTAATCCTGTTTGATGAAGCCCCACCCAGTTTGAGAGCTTGGACTTAATTTACCAACCGGTCACAGGAATTTGTAGTGATCTTACTGTTGTTTGTGTATTAATTATCTTGGACTTAATTTAGAGCAGTGTTTTTCTGCGAAAGAAAATACCAATCCTTAAAATGAAACTTTTCCCAAAATTCACCCCATACGGATAGATAAATGCACAGAAAGAATAGATGAATATCATTTGCCATTAATTATGGAGGCAGGAGTTCATCTACACCTACTTGAATGGGCATCACGTGCCTTTTGAACGGTCAACTCTTGCCCGGGTCCACCATCTGCAAAACGAGCCTTAGATCATCACCGTAATGTCTATCCGACACCCGACGACAATTTCTTCTCTTGGGTCCACTCCCTACCCAAGAGCGACAGCTGTTTCAAGACTTGATTCCGATCGGCAAGCGCACCGATATCTGTCAGCAGTCGTCTGGTTTCGTCTCCTGGGCTTCTTCACCCTCTTAGAGAGAGAGAGCTACGTTAAAGTAAGCGCAGTCATTCTTTTCTACGAAAGAAACTAGTTCATAAATTAACATTTTCTCGGATTACCTTAAAGTAACCTCGGTCAATCTCTCTCTTACAGAGAAAGAGAGAGAGCTACCTAAACGTGTCGAGAAGAAATGGGTGGTAAATCCTATCCTATGGGCCCGATCCGAATGCAAGGGTTCGTACCGGGTCGACACTCCGTCTGGGCCCATAGGGTTCATGTCTGTAGCCCCCGTTTGGCCCATCTTTGACGGTAAGCGGAGCCCTGAAGCTCCCACGTGATGGTGCCAAGTCCTGACCGCAAAGTCTGGACCGACAGAGTTAAGCCCGTGAGGTCGCGATCGCCGACCCGGGACCAACACTCGTTGAGTCTGGACGGACAGACCCTCCCCCGTCCTTCCTCACACGAGTGAAATTGGTACAAGCGCCCATGCACGTGTTTCTCAATTTACATCTCTCTGTCTCTCTCTCTCTCGCTCTCTCTATATACACATCATTATCTCTCCATATCTATCCCCTCTCACACCCTATCCCTACCCATAAACATGCGTAGATACAGTTATCTCTCTTCTCTTACCTTTCTCTCTCTCAGTATGTGTCTGCATATAGATCCAGCCGCCTGTCTATTTTTAACCTTATCTTTCAGTCTTTCTTCTCCAGCTACAGTTTTGTTCGTTCATCTATATCTGAGTTTATCCATATATCTATCATTATATAGATGCATCTCTACCCCTGTATCTCTGCTTTTTTGTCTTTAAATCTGACACGATATAATATTTCTTGATGGATTCCGTTGCTGTTGCACTGGAGGCCTTCTTTCCTACAATCAGAGATCCACCCGGTCTCATCATCTCCCTTGATGTCTGTGCAAGCAACTCCATTCATGAGGGCCTTGCGGGAACGACGCGGATGAAGCCATAAGCATGCCTTCCAAGGCCTGAGAAGGATACATCTGAGAAGAGGGGGAAGAAGAGCCTGTGGGGATTCCCTTGTTGGGCGGCTCGTCGAGTCGTCGTCTTCTTCGAAAATCTAATCTTTGGGAATACTCCAGCTTTCCTGTGGGGTGTCTGCCCACACACAGGCTGCGGGGGGAAAAAACAATTCTACAAGTATAGGCTCGTGTGCTAGGTTTCTCCCCACACTCGTGCAGGCTATGAGCTTTTATATCATCAGCTGGTGAGGCCTGACAATTAGTTGGAAGTAGAGAGAGAACTGGAAGATTAGGCTTTGTCGGTGGCTCGTCAAGATGACGCCCGACTAAATCGACCTTGACATAGAAAATCATAGCTATTCAATGCTTAGATTATCAGATCAATGCTATTTGATAAAGATTTTCCTCCTAGCCTGTCCCCTGTAGCTATAACAAGTTGCTGTGAGCCAGCTGTCCTTCGAACATAAATAAATGTTTGTGTTACCAAAAAGCCTTTTCTGAAGGATTACTGCTGGAATGTATACGCAATCCCAACATTTTTGTTTGAAATGGGGTTTTGGCTGTTCATCTTATGGGTTTCTACACGTCTTAATTGTACATCTGGAGGGTTCGTAGTACGCAAAATTATTTTATATTTAAAACATTCACTACGAATACCATCTGTGTCGTGTACTTCTATTCAGAAACACAGCAAATTGTACACCTTTCAGAAATATGTGAAGAAAAGTCAAAGATCTCAATTTTCCAAAAACAATTATAAATAATGAGGATATAAGTCAAGAAACCCACAGATCTCTCTACCTCTTGAAGCTAAGAAGATTCCCAACGAGTCGTGGCCGGTGATATCTCCGTCCGGCCAGAGTCATCGTCGCATCTGACCTAGTCGTGTTTTGAAGCCCTGCTCTTCCGTACTGTCTCGTCTGCGAGCAAGAACTTTCCCTTAATGTTCGGTCGGGTTCGGGGGGAATCCGATGCCCCTGTCTCGCACCAACAGAACAGCTCTCATCTCCTAGCCCGCCGGAAGCCATGATGCAGCGTGCTTAGCAGGGTAGAGGAAACAGAGAAGACCAGAAGTGAGGTGCCGTCTGTGTGCGGTTGGCGAGGGTCTCCCAGCGTCCTCCCTTCATCTCGCCCAGAAACATCGTTGGTATTTATTACAAGTGATTCAACCAAGACGTAGTGAGGTGCCGTACGCCTGCGAGTTGAAGTTCTAGTTTACTATCCGGGATCCAGTCTGAAGAAAATTAGAGGCTAGTTGGTATATCTGTACTGTAGATTCTCAGATTTATAAATATATATATGTAGGAGAGAGGGAGAAGAGGAGAAGGGAGGGGCGACGATTTAGTCAGAGGAAAACGATGAGATGTCTACGAAGTGATTCGTGGGACATCACATCAGCATCAGCCTTTGTTTCCCTGTCTCATATGCAAGCCCCCGTCTCAGCCTCGGCGTTCTTTTCTCTATCTCTCTCCTCTCTCCTTTTCTCTCTATCTCTTTCACTCTCTGTCGCTGTCTTTCTCTCTCCCCTCTCAGCTATATCTTTCTCCCTCTCTCTCCTCTTCACTCATCGGTTTATATTGCTACAGGCCAATTCCTGTTTCTTTCTCATGGTATTAATTCATCTCTCTCTCCCTCACCTTTCCAACCCCCCCTCCCCCCCAACTCTCTCTCCTACCCCCACCCAACATTCCATCTCTTCAGACTACGGCCTCCACCGTTCGCTCTTCTATAACCCTACCTCTTGCAGTCATTTTTCCTCGCGCACCTCCTCAACGACCACGTGTGTTCCCATTCGAGGCCTCCTCCACTGCAGATCCCCTTAGCTCGCACCTTGCTCACCCCGTCTCCGTCTTCAACCTCTCAGGCACCTTCGCCGGCGGTGCAGATTCTGGGCTCATCTGATCTCAGTGTCCGTGGACTTCAAGTAGATGTCCTAACCAGAACCCTTCATGGCTTCGCAGAGAAGGGGAAAGGCGAGGAATAGGGATCCTGTTGATAGGGAGAAAAGAATACCCTTTTTGGGAAACCCATTTATTGGGGCGATCGGTGAAGCCCCAAAAAGAAGATAGAAACCCTACTTGCACCAGTAGCGAAACCGAAGGAGAAGAAGCAAGGCGCTACTCGAGAGACCTCGAAAAAAATTGACCGTTGTTCTTCCTCCATCGCCGAGTATGTTCGACATCTCGCCAGACGCTGAAGATATGTCGGTGGTCGTCGCCGCAGCCAATTCTGAAAATTGCGGCCTCTACAGTAGCGAGAGCTGCGCCCAGGACCACCACCGCTCGTCCTCCCATCAGCAGCAGCCGCAGCAGCCGCCGCTGAGCCGGTACGAGTCGCAGAAACGCCGAGACTGGAACACCTTCGGACAGTACCTGAGGAATCACCGCCCGCCGCTGGCGCTGGCCAGGTGCAGCGGCGCCCACGTACTTGAGTTCCTCCGCTACCTCGACCAGTTCGGCAAGACTAAGGTGCATACGCCGCCTTGCCCCTTCTTCGGTCACCCGCATCCTCCGGCGCCTTGCCCTTGTCCCCTGCGCCAGGCCTGGGGGAGCTTAGATGCCCTCGTCGGCCGCCTTCGCGCGGCCTTTGAAGAAAATGGTGGTTCCCCTGAGGCCAACCCCTTCGGCGCCCGCGCAGTCAGGCTATACCTGAGGGAGATCCGCGACTCGCAAGCCAAGGCCAGGGGGATCTCCTACGAGAAGAAGAAGCGGAAGCGTCCGCCAACGCTGTCACAGCCACGCCCGCCCCCGCAGCACGGCGCTGGGCATACCCTTGCGGCGGTGGCGGCAGCCGGGGTCGCCAATCTACATGTGGAGGACCACAATTCGGCCAATGGATCCTTCCTGATACATGGTCACCACTTCCACCACCACCTCCATGATCATCACGGCCACATGATCATTTCCTCCGATGGCTCCATGGGCGGCGATGGGGGCAGTGAAGGGGTCGTCTTGACCACGTCAGACACCAACAATGGGTCTCTCATACCACTCTCAGTCCTCAACTAGCGGTGGTAATCCAAGTCTCAACGACTACTTCTACTACTACTACTACTACTGATACTACTACTACTACCACTGTCATTCTAGTAAATAGCCTTTGTGATCTCTATAAGACTGCCTCCTCCTTGAAGGTCTAACTTTATAGTGGATCGTGAAGTTCTTTTTTTCAAATAGGGTCGTGTGGGTGGAAATGGGTTCATATATAGCCAGCCGTCAATTTCTTACACAAAAGAACTCCAGATGAGAGAAAAGATCGAATGTAATGGGTTGTCTGTTGTATCGAAGACACTGGGTATAATAACTTATTTTCCGCACTGATGTACAGTTTGCTTGCGATTTTGAGGCTAATGATTCAGTTCGGCGAACAGTTCATAGACACAGTGGTCCTTGGGTTACCTTTTTCTTAACTGATTCCAGTTTTCTAATGATAGACTGTCTTGCGATTACTCGCTACCATCGATCCATACTCCGGAAGACCTAAGCCGTGTCAAGTTTTCAGATTTAGTTTCTTCTATAGCTTCATCTTGTCCTCTCCCTCTCCCTCTCTCTCTATCTCGCTCGCGCGCTGCACACAAATTCTTACTCTTTTCTCAATCAATGGCAATCAAAAATAGATATAGTGGGACTGAGTTGTCCCCTTCAGTTCATCGAGTTCAAGAGCAGGGTTTTCTCCCCCACTTTGTAGTACTGTAGAACCCGCGGCTTCTGTGCACTCTTTCTTCGTCTTTGACAGTAGACTGCAATAACATGTCTCTCTCTTTTCCCTCCGGTTCACATGACGCTGAATGGGGTTTTGTCTCCAACTTATACCCACTCATCGGAACCAATTTTTATTTTCTATCTTGCTGTATTTCCATCTAATAAACTTGTTTAACCTTTTTGTCCTTTTTCAGAAACATATCATGTTCCTTTTTTATCAACAGTTTCACTGAATTACCTCTTCTTCCGGGATTATTAATCTCAGTTCTCATACTTTCTTTGATAGTTTCCTTCTCTTAACCTGAGGCTGTTTGCAAAATCTTACTCTGAGGCTTCTTTGGCAGTCTTAGACTAAGATTACCAAAACGCTCAGGTTTCCTTTTCGTCCTTTCCTTCCCGTAGGACCTTGGATTGGTTCATCTCTGCTGGTCAATAAGCCATGATTCTGAAGAAACAACGTAAGATAGGCAACATAGCGAAGAGTATTTGTTTTTCAAGAGACTCTCATAGCTCATTTATCATACAATTATAAATAATCATATCACAGCTTGGAGGCAAGCTCTTGTGTTTTTTCTGTAATAGTCAATAAGTTTCCGATATGAGAAAGATGTCTCTAAATCCAATCCATGATGCGGTCCATAAATTAGCCTGCTAGTTCAAGAAACAGTACACGAACAAATTACAACTCTGAATCTATCACAAGCACATAAGATGAATAGACGGACGATTCCTATGTACAAGAGCCATGGGAGTATAGGGAATGCGAACTGCCATCAATGTTGTACTATTATTGTCTCGAAGACTTGGCTATCCCCAATCAATGGACAATCATTTGTTCAATCTCAGAGAGCCGAAAAAACGCATGAGTACTGAATAATCCATCAGGTCAGAAACTCACACAGTTGATCAATGTTTTCTGCGAAGGAATGAAAGTTCACCAAACAGGTTGAAGGGCTCCTCAGTTCGTCAACCAAGATGGGATATCCTCATGTTTTAACTCTACTGTTTTAGAAAACCAGCTGAAAATTCTTCTCCGATGCGCTCTTACAGTGTCGAAACGTTTGCCTTGTTCTCACAAATACAGGCTGGCGATTTCAACCTCGACACTGAAACAAAAAAGATACAGGCGCACGAAATATGTAGTGAGAGCTTGCGGATGACCCGTTCAGCACTGAATTGTTATGGCTCACCGAGAAACGCGAAGAAAGAGAGAGGATGTCACACGGGTTTGTTGATCAAGAAATTGGTTGACAAAGCTTGCGAATGAGCCACTGCACCCTTCTGCGGCTGGATTCATTTAATTCACTCATCAAAATTGGGCTCCGCATGTTTCCTGGTCATCTATCGGGGAAAGGTTTGTAAAGAGAGCACTCGGGTGACCCACTCAGTCTGAATTCACTGGCTTCATTTAAGACAGCCTTCAACGGGCGGGTTCCCCGGAACTTCAGTGTCTTTATTCTTATCCTTCCTCATGTGTCTACAGTCTTATGTTGGAGAAGTGGGGAAACCTCCCGCCCGTGGAAGGCCGAAGTCTCTTGGGATGAAATAATACCCAAGACTGGTAAAAAATTATTAAGAGGATTCACCCCACTGTTGGTGTTTAAGGGGCTCCTGAGCAAGCCTCTTTGTCACGTCACAATATCATCAGGTGCATCGAAGAAGAATCAAGAGGACGCTAAGTTTGACTGGGCATGTTTCTGTCTGTGCATGTCCAAGTTGACGAAGCGTCATCATGACCAAATAGTTCTCATCGAGTTTCTCTCCCCGCCGCACTCTTTCGAATGATTAAGGAGACCGAGAGTTCATCGGAGGGAAAAATTACGGGGGTCTCTTCGAAGTTCTATTCTCCCTTGAAAATAAGAGCTCAAAGCTGATCTTTTTCATCTGTGGAACTGTGCTCCTCTCGGTTTGCTTTCAACAAAAGAATATCCACTGTGCTGCATCGAATGTGGGGAAGGAACCTGCTCATCGACTGCGGGCTTTGCCCCTGGGGAAGAACACACATGCAGAGTCACCTGTGAATCAATGGAGAAGGACAAGACAGCTGTCTCGATCAGACGGACCCAATCGCTGGACCCACGGATCTCAATGTCCATCTATCTGACCCACGAGGTCCTATCGTCACACGTCAGAGGAGTAAATATAACAAAGCGAAAATGGGGAATCTGTCATTGAAACGATTCCATGTTTTTAAAATAAGTTTGCCCAGCATGTCACATAAACATACTGGCATAATAGTAAATTCACGTCCCAAATATGGAATTTCTCCGAATTTTATCCAATATCTCTTCTCCAAATCACTGAAGTGATAAGAATTTTGTCGTCGCAAAGATGCCATTTTTCTTGAAGAAGTGGACACCCCCCCCCGACCCCAAAACTCTATGATACACGAGATCCAGTGTTCTTTTGTCCTCATGGGGGAATCCGCGCCGTTTACTTAATTTTGCGATTTGAGGTCGATGTGACGCGTCAGAACGGATGCGACGCCGTTCGTGCATCCCCTCGTGCATGCAGGGCCCACCACCTGCCTTTGCCCTCTTCTTTCACATTCTTACATTGGGTAGTCGTTGTATTTCACGGATTTTTTCTTCTCTGTGTGTGTGCTACGTCCGTAAATAACAGAAAATGTTGGGCTAAATGTTAAGCTGGTGACCTCCTGTGGGGTACGGACTTTAGGGCAGTCAGCTGAGGAGTTACGTCACCGTAGGGACGGGGCGGCAAACGCTACCGCAGTCACGTCAGATGGCTTTGCTTTCCATTACCGCCTCGGCCTTTCAGGTCTGGAGAGCGATTCTGACCCACACCTCTTAGATACGGAGGGAGAGAGAGAGAAAGAAAACGCGAGAGAATGAGAGAGATGATGAATCCGCCTGCCTCCGCGCGCTCACCTACCGCTGTCTAGCTCTTCCTTGGACTCTTCTTCATCAGCATCTTCTCTTCAACAGACGGCGGATTTCTAGGGTTAAGATACATCAAAGCTTGACTGTTCATTGTGTTCGATAACGGAAGCGCAGCAGCTGTTCGCTCATCGCTCTGGTCTATTGTCTCGTTTCGTCAAAGCTTGTATAGTTTCATTCGATACAGCTGATCTTTCAAAGATTTCCTTGTCGGGTTGACTGGGATATGAGAGGGTCCCACTGTCTTGGCATCGTTCGGCGTGCATCATTGAAGGGGAAACCTTTGGCCAACCCGGAGGCCTACCATCCCGTCTTCTTCCTTCCGTGCATGGGCGTATATAATATTTGCAGACTAGTCTTCTTCATGCAAAGTGCAATGAGAGGACTATATATTTATTTCGGTTAAATCTTACCTTATTTCTTTGAAGAAAGGGTCCCGGGGGTAAAAAAATATTCGTCACGACCTTTCAAGAAGTGCACTATTTCTTCAATGAGTGTTGACAAGTAATTCCTAAGTGAGTTGTAGCATAATTTAAAATTTACATTATTAATTCAATGGTTACTTTTGTGACCCATCCAAACTCACTTAATGATTTTTTATTAATTCTATCTCTAAACTAAAAAGATTACTATATGTGAATATCTAATTAAGAATAGGTCGTCTCAACCCATCCATTTTTTCCACATATTTAGGCACAAAATGTAAAAAATAAATTTATTGGCTTGAGCCAATCATTATCTAGACTATGTACTTCACTTCATAAGATTGAAGCCTTACTTACATACTAAACTAAAATATTAGGTGCATGAATACATATTAGGCGCTCAGTCTTATTAGTTCATGGCATAATGGTCAACACAACTTATGTCTCTAAGATGTTGGCACAACTAATTAAATTTTCCCTTTTAATAATTTTAAAGGGTTATCCCATTGAAGTATTTTACAAAAGAGTCTTACAAATTAACATCAACAAGTATAGAGAAATATTATATGCTTTATGGTTCTCATTCTATATTTCAAGCATTAAGCTAATAGAAAATATCTAACAACATTTTGGGCATCTAGTTTGAAGCTGAAATCAAAAAATTAAAAGGAATATAGGACTTAAAATTACCATGATTTTAAAATTAAATGCATAGTAAATACAAATAGTATATCCCTTTTGTAGCTCTCAAGTCTAAACATGAGTACTAGGCCAAGTAAAACAGCAATATGTTGTTCTGGTCGAAAAAATTGAACTTAATTGAGCTTGGCTTAATGGTATATTTATGAGGAATAAATTAGAATATAATTCTTCATCTAATCATAGAATTGGAATTTCTTTCATTCTTATGTTATAAGATCTATGAAAAATGGAAGTAAGTGAGAATGAAAATCTTTTTAAATCATTCTGTAAACTCTTTGAGCAT